TGCAAACAGGCTCCTCAGGTTGGCACACACAGGCTGCCAGTCGGCAGGGATAACCTTGCCCACAAAGCAGCTCATTTCACTCGGTTTTAACTCTTTAACAGTTTGTGAACTGTTCTTTAAGTGGTCTAAACAACCAGAATTCAACACAGGTTGGACTGATTTCTAACCCTAGCTCCTCCCTGAAGAAGCATCTTGTTTGTATACACCAAGCACTGGCTCCAGATTTGAAAATAGGCCCAGCCTATTTTCAAATCCAAACAGTTTTTCTTCAAAGCAACATCAAGGTACCTTTCATAAAAACGAAGGGATGATGCAATACATATATAGTGCGTGAACAAGTACTTGAGCTGCTCTGCTCAGAATTAGCTTAGGCAGTTACTTAAGAACATTGTGTTGTACAAATACAAGCCACATTTTTGCAGCCATGCCTACTAAAACAAGTGAATGACTGAAAAAGTATTGAATTTATTTAAATTTTATGGTTTTGCCCTAAGATCTAAAAATGGTTAGAAACAATAAACTTATGAAATCTCACCACTTATGCTCTTCACTTTGCTTCCAAGTGCTATTGCCTCCGAACAATCTTTAAAGGAGATAGTTTGTACTTAGATCTATATCACAGGCATTAAAAAATTAATCAAACCATGTCCAAGTTGCCTGAAAGGTTTGTCTTCAGATCATTTAGTCCCACATTTTCCTTGAAGTAGGACTATCTCCAGTTGCTGGGTAGGACTACCATGGCTTTACCTAGTCCTGGCTCACCAATGTCCAGGGAGATGCCCCAGCCTCTGGAGTGCACCACTTCCACTGTGGTGCATGTTCTTGTGGAAATAATCTCTGCTGTGGGCTTGGTATCCTGGAGATTTGTGCCTTTGATGGTATAATTTCTTGAGGTAGAATTTTTGGTACCTCTTCCCCATAAACACAATGCAACAGGCCTGTGAGGAAGCAGTCACAAAACTGCCTGCAAATTCATTTCAACAGCTTCATGCAACTTTCATATTTATGTGTATGTAACACAGGGAGATAGATACTTCTGATGTTTCTTTAAGGTTTATGCTTTAAAATCAGGACTTAGCAAACATGGGGACCTATACAGTGATGCTGGTAATCTCCATCATCTTCTAAGTGTTTGACCTGAATTAACTTCCCTGATACTTCCCAAAGTATCTCAGGAGCAGAGAAGATAACAAATACTTCACACAATATAGCTAATGTGGGGACCCTTTTGCCACAGTATATCACAGTGCTGAATACATGGTTCATTTCTGAAAAGAGCCATTACCTATGATCCATTTCTAAAGCACCACAATGAAAATAATGCCGAATTCAACAAAATTGCTATGACAAATGCAGAAGAAATAGTCCTGATATCTACAAGCATGACAAACCAAGCAATTAGGTTATTTTTGAATCTCTCTTATAAAGTACTCTAGCAATGGGTAATGCCAGAGACAGAGAATTGGATTTGCCCGAGCAAATGGTGGTGTCCTGACAGACACTACCTCCTCTTCAAACCAGGCACCTCTGAGTGTTATTTGCAGACTAGCTTTGGAAAGCCTTTTCTTCACAAGCACGTATTCACCCTTTTTGTATGAGCTTCGTATGAGCAATCCAGGTTGCTGCTGCACACCCATCCACTGGAGGAGAGGAAGGCATGATCAAGTTGTGGGGATTTTGCGTGCAACCTGCCCATAATTAGCCCCAAGCAGCAGCTGAGTCACTCCCAAGAGTCCCGGGTGCTACTAGGACCAGACATGCCATGGCCCAGTGTATAATTACATACCAGCCACCACTGTGTGGAAACAGCTCCATTTACTATCTGACCCAATTAGACAGAAGCTGTCATTTCTTCTTGCCTACCAGGGCTGTGGGTGCTCTGAGGAAGACAAGCCAAATTCTCACAGTCCAAACTCATTCATCCAAATGCACCCTTCTTGCTGAAACCAGCAGATGCCATCCTCTTTCCTGGTTCACCTGTGAGCTGCCTGAGAGCTCCTCTATAGTCAAGAGGAAAATGGGTGTGTACACAGCAACCACTGGATACAAGGGACAGGGAGATGAGTGCAGAAAGTCTAGGAAACACAGCATGCCAATAATGTCTATTTCATCAGAGAGCTGGCTCAGTTGGCCAAAACACGCAAGAAATCACCCCTAGCTGGCAGGGCTGTATTTGAGCTGCAGCTGGATTTTGCAGCTGCCTTTTCCTATCAAGGCATTAAGAGGAAATGCCTGGCTTCAGCAGCATCAGCAGCATGGCATTCCCCCCTGGCACAGCTCCTGTGTTCACTGAATGAACCTAGTCCCAGCTGATGAACAACCAAAGGCTCCTGCAGCCAGGATCTCACAGGCTACACACAGCACCTGAGCCAGCAGAGGCCCTTTTGCTGGTCCTCTGAGGAAAAGCACAAAATGGGTCTGGGTTTTTGTCACCCCAGATTGCCAGCCTGTCACATGCAGTTCAAGTGAGGTTTGCTGGGAGGGGTGTGCAATGCTTGGGCTGCTGTTGATGCTGCAGTTCAGAGAAGAAACACAAGGCTCCAACCTCGAGCTGCTATTCTTGCACCAGTGCTACATCCCCTTCGAAAGACAACTTCGACGGCACTGGTTTTTAAACAAGTACTGATAAAATTTTGCTGAAAGGGACAGTGGAGTAAGGGAAAGAGGGTGTCAAATTAGGATCAGCTTGAGCCATTTCAAATAAACAACAAGGAAATAAAATGTTCCCTGATTGCTGGAAGGCTTGAAGGCTTACAAAGTACTCGCCCCACCCAAATCAAGGGCTTGAAATGGAGCAGCAGTGGAACAGAAATCCCTGACAGTGTAAGATTTGCTGTTCTCTAGTACTGCTTTGCCATCCTCAGGGATGGCAAAAGCATCATTAGGGTTTAACTAGAGTTGGATGAAAACATGGAGTACCCCAAGGATCAATTTTCACTGTAGGCAGCTGCAGCACAAGGCATTAATTCTTCACCCTTTCTGGTGACGGGAAAAATGCAGGGAGCTGTAGATAAAAATAATGTTAGACTTGCAGTGTGTATTTTGCAATGAAATGCTTGCTTTACTTCCTGTTGTTTAGAACTGCTTTTATTCTTTAGCACTGCAAGAAAAACCTCCTCTATTTTGTACTGGGTGCACATTTAAAGGTCCATATATTGTAGACTCAGCAAGTGGCAGGGCAGTCACCAAACCTTGCTTCCTTTCTGATTTCTTCATGATTTAAGACCTATTTTTATCAGCTGATACTGGTTTCCCCCTTTCCTTTTTCCTTGGTAACTACCACTTCAACAAGATGGTGTTTGCACAGTGGCTTGGAATCAAGAACTGAGTTTTTTAACATCATACAGGGAACAGAATAAGAAAAGCAGGACTAACATCACCTATACACCATGGCCTTTTAAGGCACATGCTTAGAAATATATGGCAGAACCCTTGAGTTCTTGCAGAATAATACTTTGACTGCTAGACTATTATTTCCTACATAGCTAAAATTACTTGCATGTTTCTGATATTTGTGTTGTTTACCTTCCCCCAGAACAATGCTTGAAATTATTCTCTGAATATAAAGAAATCAGTAAATCAAAATATTAAAAAAAAACCTGCACTTTTTATAGACATTTTTCAAACTTTTACTGGCTTTCCCTGTAGGGGTAAACCCTATTGATGTTAAGTATAAACAGGAAAATAAATGTCTGATCAACACTTTATTTAGGTGTAGGCTTCCTTCAGGAAAGGACAATTCACTTTGCCACTGCTAATTTCCAAACATGGAAATTAAATGAAGAGTTGGTAAAAAAAAATGTACCCAGCGCCATCAGCATGCTTATCCTCTCTGATCTGGTAACAGTCTTTCCTCAGAATTTTTCTGTTGTGGAGAACACAACACTTGGCTTAGTAAATAAAAAACAGCTTCTACTTATTTTTATAGCAAATAATTCTGTATTTAATGTAGGTCCACAAGATGTTGGCATACACCTTGTTACCTTGTTAAAAGAAAGAACTCAAGTTTGCTAAAAATAGCAGTAACAAGTAAGGATGAAGCAAAATTGTCCCAGAAGAGGACAGAGACCTGAAAATAAAATCTGGAAAGGCGATGACTTAAGGGAATTTTAGTAACATTTAAGAAGTAAGAGTAACTTTTAGGTTTAATGAGGGTTACAATGCATCAATTACAGAGACAAAAGTAATTTAAGGGAAGAGTGTTCACTGGCAGTTCAGTTTGGTCACAGACTTCATTTACTTCACAGGGCAAGGAACAGCACCCCATAATTAACAATTGTGGTCATAAATTGTATCCAAAGCTTGCTATCTCCTTGCAGCACATCCTCCTCACAAAGCTAGAAAGGTGAGAAGCTCCCCTTCCGCACTGACAAAGGACTTGCCCCTTCATGCCCATGTCACTGCTGCACAGACATGGTACTAAAAATGTATTTCAGACCTGCACTGGTGAGCCCCATGTACTGCTACAGGTTTCTATTGCCTGCTGCTTCTCTGGCTAAGGGTACTGACACAGAAGGAGGTCTAAGCTGCAATCCCCACTCATCACTTAAACAGGTTTCTGAGTTCTGCTGAACCCCCAGTTTTGTATTAGGGGGCACTGATCAATGGGGACTATTTAATCCTTTCTTTCCTAGGTAAGAAGTCTCTGTGTAAAACCACCTTAAGTGAGACTTAAAGTACTGCAATTCATGGCTAAATCTCATCTACCAACTGATTCACCAAAGATGAAGCAAAGATTTGTAGGTTCTGGACATGATGAGAGAAAGGGAACATAGAGAGAAACATCCCTAGGGAGGGTTTAACAATGCACAGGAGATCTGTGCTAACTCCAGCAATGATCTCTTCTCAAAAACTGACTCAAGTTACTCTCTGTATGAATGGGTGGATGTTCAAGGGCAGTGACAATACCAAAACATGCCATTTCAGCAAATGAAAAGTGCCAATCAACAAAGCAGTGGCCAGCACAAAGGAAAGATCAATGAAGGCCAAACAATGTATGGTATAGTTACCTTTTATTTATTCTTCCAGCTGTTTGTCCAGTCTTTCCAGCAAGTTCATAAAAAACCTGACTTTGAATCCATAAGATTTGGTATTACTTCTAGGACAGTGGATTATGTATGCAGATGAATGAAGGCTTGACTCTTAAGTTTGTGATTTAAGGATCTTTGGAAAACCATGCATTAGCAGAGTTTAGTAACTCAAGACTTACTGCATTCTTTCAGTCAAACTAGGACAGTGTAGAGTTTAGGCTTTTTGATATGTTTGCAATATTGCTATTTTTCTCCTATATTTTGTGGTTCTTACAAGCCAAGGAAAATAGCCTAGGTCTGACTGCTCCCTTCAATTGCATATATCACATAATAGGGAAGGAAGTGCTGAGTCTTGGTGCTGTTAAAACGGCCACAATGGAAATTATAGTAAAACAGGAGATAACAGAAATAACTCCAACTCATTTGATCCCAACTTTTGTGGCTAACTTAAATGCCTTCAATGGATACTTGGTTTGATATAAAATTATTCAAACAAACCCTCTTGTGGTATAGTATTTATATGGTAATTCTCCTGGAGAGAGGTATCCATTAATTTCAGTGTTTCTCATCTCAATGCCCCATCTGGAGAGCTAACACTCCCAATACTTTTGAGAACTATTAAAAAGGGATCCATAAAATACCATGTAAGTCAAAGAGTGAAGGGTGACTTTGAAATAAAGAAAATGTTCATTAAGTGTAACAAAAATGCCTTTTCTTCTAATCTGAAAATTGATATTCTTATCTTAAACACAAACAGTACAGTTTTTCATATTTTCTACCTTTTTTTTCTTCAAAATACTACCAATTGTACCATGACGTTAAAATTAGACTGAAACTATTAATTTGTTTCTATGTATGTTAGTGAAAAGTTGGTGAAACTATTGAATTCAACACAATTAATTGCTGGTTTAGGCTCTTAGTAACCTCAAAGTATTTTCTTACATGGCTTCTAAAACTATTTAATAATAAAGCAGTACATGGTTCAGAATTACTAGGACTGAGGTGAAGGCTGCATTTTTGGTTGAGAATAAATCTAAATTCTGAAGACTGGGCCTCTTTTCAAACTATTTTGCAATTGCTATCCTTTAAATTATAACTTCCGAAAAGATAAAAAAAAAAAATAAATAACTGGTGCCACTTGGACAATCAGGTATATAAAGCACTGTGTTCCTGGTGCAATCAGTACAACACTGAATCAAAGACAAAGTTACAAAATTTAAGATTCCATGAATGTACTGATGCAATTTAAGGGTTTGGTTTATACTTTTTGAAGATGGCTAGAGATTGTTTCTATCAGATTTTGAACACTATGAGAACAAAAGATTTTCATTAGCCATCCTCCTTCTCCTACCCCATTCACAAGGTTGGCGTATTCTTGAATATGCATCTGTGGCTTTGGCTTTTACCTGAAGAAATGTAGAAGTGAGACCATCCCAGTATACTAAACAATATTTTGTTCTTAGTCACTTGATGTTGTTCAGTTATGATTTTACTATCCACATAAAACCATTACCTTCCACATGTGCTCTAAGCATGCAAAAGCCTCATGCAATATCTCCACAGAGGGAATTCAGGCTCAGACCTTTGAAACTGTTGACAGATCTTAGGTAATGCACAGAGAATCACAAAGAGCTGGATCACAGGATAGAATATGCCTTCTCTGCAGGCTTACAATAAAGCTTCTGATTTTGTCTGCAGCTTAATTTTCTGCCAAGAATTTCAGTATTAAACATAAATTAAATTTTGCCCACAAACTAGCTAAAATACTTGTAGTTTCTAGAGGTGAATTATTAAGCTCCACTACTCAAAACTGATCTGTATTTCCTAGGTGAACATAAACCCTGAAAAGCACTATTTTTCATGCAAAATAAGTTAGAAAGGGTAGGAGAACACTGCCAATCAAGTTTTACAAGACTTCCTTGCATGCGATGCTGTAGTGAATAATTTAAAATTAAATATTTTCCAGTTCCACTGTATCATCTGTATATTATTCATTTAGTTCCTTGTATTTAGCAGAAGTAGAGCACATTTTCCAGATACCATTTATAAGCAACATGCTCTGTTAATTTTATTCCTTACTGGAAAGTACCTTGGTCTATTCAAAAATTAATTGGGGAAGTGACATTGTGAACATTAATCCCAACTGATGTGCCTGACAGAAGCAGGAAAGGAAGGATGAATAGGTGGGATTTTGCATTTGGCATTTCAGAATTAGCGGAGGTAATGTTTCCAGTTATATACACTTGAAAATATTTTCTGAGAAGATATGCTCAACTTAAGCATTAAGCTAAATATCTATAGCCCTACATTATTTCATCAGCTGTTTTCCAAGACATCATTCATCCCTTTGTTGAAAGTTTGCTTCTTAGCAGTATTTACCTTATTTGGAAAAATTACAGGTTTATGAAAGAGTTTTATTTTGTTATTCTGGTTTAATTACTAGTTACTTGCATACTGGTACTAAAGAAGTAGAACTTTTTTTGTAATGGCAAGGGGCACTCATTAGGAAAACACCAAAACTGTACAACTGGAGATAAAAACAAAGCATAAAAGCCTAACATTTCACATAATATGAGCTTTCAACAGAAGTATTAGAAAAACCACCAAACCTTTAACACCCTGCCATATTAACTTCAGACCAACTGGAAAGGCACTGGGAATTGAAGTGTGCAACTCATATCCATACCTGTGAGAGTAACAACCAAGTGAGACACAAACCTCCAAGGCAGAACGTGGCACTGTACATCCATTAAGCATTCCTGGTACATACGGCAGTTTTATGTTTTCTTAGGATAAGCTGAAAATGTTAACTAAATACACACATAATGTCATATTTCCATGGGGAAAAACAATCCCTTTTAGACCATCTGAAGACAAGGAAACAAGGCATAACAGACAGGACATTGTTGGCACAAGAAAGTGTTAACATATCAATACATACCCTTTTAAATTTAATATAATAGATATATAAAGTGATAGATAGTGATGGTGATATATATATGGTGGTGGCAGAGGCAAAAGGGCAGGACTAGTACTAAATATTTAGTTCTAAGCATGCTAGTGAGGTCTTTGTTTCAGAAACTGAAGCTACCAAAACCAGTTCAGAGGCAAGAAAGCACCTATTCAAGACAGTCCAACCCATTTCCAAGCATTCTTCTTCTGGACTGACATGTGCAGACTGAAGGATCTGTCCAGTATAGTTTCCATGCCCAAAGCTGTCTAAAGCTTCCCATTAGCAAATGCTGCCTCCTGGAACTGAGGGACAAATGTCTTGAAATATGTCCTAGTGAAAAGAACAGAAAATATATGATTAGGAAGGAATAATTTTAAAAGCATGAATTGAATCACTTTTTGTTTCCCACATTTCCTATTTCCCCTATGTGGAAAAGGCTTTACATATGGTACAAAAGGCCCAAAGACAGACAAGGAATGGAGCAGGAAAACACTGAAGAGAAGTTAGAATATGTGTAGAAGATAAGCTCTTTATCTGTCTCAGAAACCATGACACAATACTGTCACTGCTGATGGCAGTAGTTTACATAAAATGCAGCAAATAAATACTAACAACATTGTATGAACTGTAATTCCTTTTATTAAACTTAAAAATTTATAGGATAATGTTCTTTTTTAAAGTGTGCTTTGTTTATTTTGAACCTTAGTCTGTATCTTCTTTACAAAGGATGAAGTGACTCATAAATCCATAAAATGAGCTAATCTTACACATCCAAGATTGAGTTAGAACTGTACCTTTGAGTTCTTTTTGCTGAGATACTCAACCATGTAATAAATGTATTTTACACGTCCCAGGGATGCCCTTTACTTGCCAGTTATATTAGAAGTTGCTTTATCATTCTGCCTTTGGTTTCTGCTTACCGTGTTTTGCGCCAACCTTTCACTTTCTCCTTTTACTTTTTTTAAATCTTGTTTTCTATTTCTATCACTGATTTCTATGAATTTTTCTCCTGTTCTCCTCACCAAGAAGAAATCTAAAGTGAGAACAGTCATTTATTAGAGCTGCAAAGTCATTTATTAGATTCCTGATCTCTCTGCTGGTTTACCTCCTGAAGCAAACACACACTGATCAGCTTCCCAATCACTATGTGTTTCATAACTGCAGTAGAAGCTTTGGCAATCACTGAACAACAATCATACCTCCTCACACCTGAAAACATTGCAAGACCATGAAGAGAACACTCCTCTCTCTTTGTGAGGTTGAGCCTGGCAAAATAATTAAGATAGCTGCAGTCAGCTCTTGTGCATAAGCTGTAAAAATACACAAGATGCTGTCCAAAGATTAAAAGAGCAAAGGAAAGTAAAAGCATTTCTGGACTGAGAAGCTGATCCCAGAAATGGAAACCAGCACACACATTTTATAGCATATAGAGATTGTGCTGTGTGTTTACAGAACACACTTTGGTTTATTGAAGCAAAGTTCAGAAAATAACCCTCATAAACATGTCTACAAAAGCCATTGTTCATGCTGGCACACACACGTACATAAACCAGCTGAGAAGGTCTGCCTGTGCCCTGATCGCAACAGCTGAGTGCCATTTCTGCATCTGTTTCTCCTACCATACCTTTGAAATTATAGCTTTGTTAAGTCACGATTAATTCTACGTATTTTGCTAGCTCAAGGAGTACCACCTATATGTTATCAATGTCAGGATCTATCCCTTTTACTTGTCCTTGTTTTATCTGTCCTAATATTTAATTATGCTTCTCTGCTTGCTTATTTTAAATAGCTTCTCCCTTCCTCTTTGGTAGCTTCTCTGCAGACTCTCTTCCATGCATGTACTCTTAATTGACTTGATTAATGTTACTTAAAACTTCCCTCTTCCAAAACTGTAGAAATTCTTAATCATTAAACGGGATACAATCAGAACTATTTTCCTACATGTTATTTATTTTCCTTTATAGCATTTCTGTGCTTTGTATTAAACCCACACTTACTCCATTATATGCAGTACTTATATATGCCTTTTCTGTTAGGTAAATTCCAGAATGAATGCTTATGATACCACAAACACCCTCCCACACCAGCTTTATCTACACTTGCATCCTTTCTTTTCACTGATTCCTGCAGGAGAGCTTGTATCCTTTGCTGCAAAACTAAGTCTAACACCTCCCTACATTCTGATCAGATATACTGTTTCAAAGAGGATGTTATTTCACTGGTAGTTCATATGAACCTCTTGGCGATGTTCCATACACAAAAAAATTCCTTTAGTACTTCATAATTTTAAATGTCCACTTTTTTTTTTTCTTTTTATACCTTAAAGTACATGCTTAAAGTTGTCCTTATAATTTTGGTCTTCTCCAGACTGAAGCAAATGCAGTACCACAAGTGTACTCAGGTTATATTCCTCCATTTCTGTCCCTCTCCCATACACCTTAAGTATCTCAGATAAAACAAAATCAGAGATAATTATGGTTCATCACACATACACACAAAAAAAATTAAAAGTGCTCCCTTAACCCCCACAAACCAAACAAAAAATGCCCTGCTAAGAGAGCCAAAAGCCCAGTATACATGATAGGACTGTATCAGCTACAGCACACTTAGTAGATTGAGGAGAAAAGATGGGGAAGTAGGAGAAGGTAAGTGAAACTCCTTAATGAACACTGGAATTTGTTTTCTGAATTCTTCCTTTTCATCCAAAGTTTGGAACAAAACCATGTGTTAAAATACCTGAATTTCCTGTGAAATGGAAATTACAACATTTTAATTACAACAATCTCTGCAGAGATTACCAGTAAGGAGGAAAAGAAGCACTGATCAACTTCTGAGTAAGTATCATCTATCGACCAGCTGGCATTGAAGTCAAAGTGTACATGTTTCTGCTCTAACAGGACCATGTTTCTGCCAAACAGGACCATGAACTATTATGTCACAACAGATGACATGAAATAACTTTAAGAGAAATATAAAATTTTTTGAAGGACAATACTCTGCTATAGACTGCATGGTAAAGACAGCATCTTTCACATGCAATACTACTAATTATAGAAAGATTTTAAATCAAGAGACAACACTCATGCTCCAGCATCCTGTACATACAGGTAGAGAGAAACAGTGAATATAAACATGAACTTTGGAAAAAGATACATTCCTCATATTCTATTCATATTAACACATTCACATGAATTTACACCCTCAATAACTATGAACTGTGCTATACCTCAGGAATTCATATAAAAATATCAGAAATTTTTTTTCAGAAACTTTGCCACATGATATTCTCAAATTATCTCTAAACTATTTTGAAATTAGTAGCTTTATATACACTAGATATGCTTTTCAGCTCTGGAGAACTGTTATTAAGAAAACCTCAAGAACAGTACCTATTGAATTACACTGAAGATGAAGAAAGCTAACTTGACCTATGGTCTCTCAGGGCTGTGTCAAATGGCAGAAATCAGCTTTTGATCAATGCCTTTTCTCCTTTCTGGGAAAGATGGAGATCTTTCTTTCTCCAGCTTTCATCTACCATGTTCTTGGTAGGCATGTATCACATTGACCTTATACCAAGCTCAGAAGACCTGCATAAATTCTCCTGTAAGTACAGAGAAACCCATTTGTACAAAATACACAGATATTTACATGAGTATTGAGTACAATCAACACTCATGTAAAGAAAGTATGATGAGTGCTGCATCCTTCCCACAATGGTTTACATCTCCGCTTAAATGGTGTTTAAAGAGTCGATTTCTTTTCAGCCTAGAGTGGGTGCCAATCTTCATACACTTATGGGCACATGTCTAAGTCTCTGTTGAACTTCTTATAAGACCCCATTGTTTTTTGTCTATTTGTTTTTGTTCCCTCAAATGGTCATTTTTCAAGTTCAAGGTAGTAAGTTACGAGGTTTCTATGGAAATTTTTCTTCCTCACTCCAGAAAACAACACATTTTGCTGTAGTTAACCACTATATCTACTTGACACAGTACAATGAATTCCAGGTGCTATGCTCAAGGACGTCTGTTGAGAGTAAAGCACTTCTCTTTCCTTCACCTTATTATCCAGTGGAAAGAAAGTCTTGCTTTTATTGTAAGTGGTAAGTATCTAAAAGAAGGTAGAATTGGCTTACCTGCTGTTTACATGTTTTCCAGTAATATGAAACACTGAGTGTGGTACAAGGTCTCCAGAAGACCATACATCTCTAAATCCCAGGGTGTGGGTTTGCCATGCTTATAATGTTCTTTACTCAGAATTCACGTGCTTTCGTAAAATTTCATTCTAACTCTACTGTTTTTTTCCCAGGGTAACTTAGTGCTGGGTTTTTTAAATGTGGTTGCTAGAAATCTGCATTGACCACTTGATAATACCTTTTGCCTTCACATGTCTATGCTGAAAATCTGGAAAAACTTTAAATTATGTAGCTGCAATCTCCCATCAAACAACACATCCCATATATTTACAGTGAAAGCATTCTAACACCACCACACTTGATTTCTGCTGTTGATTTTGCTGGACTGGTACTATAGCAAACTACACAACTGTGTTCTAGTTACTGCTGCCGGTGTAATAAAGTTAAAAGGGTTGTTTAGGTGTTTCTCTTAAAATCTTCAGGTGGTAAATTCAGAGCACAACATCAAGACTCAAACTCTGTGAGGAAAAAAGCATACACAGCATTGTATCAATGACATTTCTGGTTTTTATGTCTAGGACAAGGACAATCATCATGGGATGATGAATCATCTTCCCAAGTCATTCACAAAATACATTCCCCTTAAACTCCTCAGTTTATGACTGCCAAGATTTCCAGCATGCTGATCTCAAATTCACCCATACTAGCCCTATTTGCACTCATGTTTTACTTGTTTCAGCTCAAGATGTGGGACTTTCAAGTGCTTTTTCCATCAAGAGATAATCTGAGGAAAATGAAGGGGATGAAATCATCATGATGGCCCATATCAAGAACAGATTTAGCAGCACAGCAACACTTTTACTACCAGCACAATGCCCCTGTTGGCAAATTAAAGCCCTTGAGCCACAGTTTTAATCTTTTCACAAAGACATAGAGACCTTCTCTCACTGCATCAAGCACACATATTGTGTTCCTTCTCATCAGAAAACAGACTCTGATATTCCATTTGGATTTTTTTCCTACTCCTGGCTTTGAGAGCAAACTTTATTCTTTATACTACCCATTATTTCAATATTTTAGTTAATTCTTGTAAAATATTTTAGTAAGTAGTGCAACTGTGGTTTAATTCTGTAACTATTTGGCTCTAATTATAGACCCTTAGTGTATTCAAAATCATAGTATCCAGTGTGTTTGACAA